GTGTAGCACGTGTGTATAAGGTACTTACATACATTTAAACATGCGGAGATTTAAATAGATATTTTATGCTACCTCCGTGGCTCGTGGCCCGAGCCCGCCCTCCACATGTTAAAAAGTGGTCACCGTACTAAAAGCCATTAAGGATGTGCTTTCAAAGAGAAGTTCGGTAAAGTCTATGGGGCTTTGGGTTTCGAATGGAATCAGCTGAAGAGGAGGAGGAGGGGGAAGAGGAGGAGGAGAAGGGAAATGGCCCACTGACGTTACTGCGGCCGTCAACCCACTTCCCCCCAAAGCATCTCCGTAGTCGTCATGTCCGCTCTGCGCGAGAGGTTCGAGAGAGCGTGTAGCTAATGCAAACAGGTTTCAAAGCTAGACCGTAACAACTGAAAAGAACAAAAGGCATGCGAACAGTTTACAGAACTTGTGGAAGATGGCAACAACCCAGACCCGGGGGGTCTGGCGAGGAATCAACGGAACTTGCGGAAGATGGCAACGACCTTGACCCATCTGACCCCCAAACTCGGTGCGAGAAGGGGATCGTTGGATTGCAGGAACACACCTCACCTACAATGACCTACAATGGGTTGACAATGCAGAACGGAAGGCGAAGAGCCCACGAAACTCGTGGAAGGCGACAACCACGCAGACCTCGGAACACGAAAAGAACCATAACGGAGAATGCAAAACGAAGAACCTACAGAAATTTGTGAAAAATGGTGACAGCCCCAACCTCCAGGATGGGAAGGTAAGAGATCCACGAAGGCCCTGCAGCAACGAAAGGAAGGCGAAGAGATTGCTCAGAAAATGGCAACAACCCGGACATCCAATCTCGGCGCCGTGAGACCGGGTGTCAAGAATTCCGCAATGGTGAAAGGAAAGCGGAGAGCGTACAAAATCTGCCGAAAACCGCAACCGTGCAGGCCCCAGTCTCGGCATTGGGAGAACAGCAAGACCCCTCCACGGGGAATGGAAGCGAAAGTGCAGAAGTTGAGCGAGAGGGCAACAACCCAGATTCCGCACCCCGATCTCGGTGGGCAACAACCAGACCCCCAATCTCGGTGCAAACGGGGGTGGGGATTACAGCACGAACCCTGCGTGCGAAATGGAAGGCGAAAGACCTGCAGACACCTAATCTCGGTGCGAGACAGGAGGGTCCGGGGTTGTAGAGCCCTACAACCCTACAACGGGAATGCAAGGCGAAAGACCTGCGGAACGTGCGCTTCGCCCGGAAAGCCACTGTCTACCTCTTCTCGCAGAATTCGTTCGCCCGCTTACTCAGTATCAACCCGTTTGCGTGCGCAGCCCATCCCATTTGTGCTGTCTTTCCGGATCTGTCTTCTGTTTTTGGCCACTTTGGCCCGGCTAGCACATCCACACCGCTCTGTGGTTTTTAGTAGCGACTCCTTTTGGGATCACAACATCCTGGCTCCTGAGTAGCCCCATCTATCGTGTACACCCATCTAGTATTCTTCCCCTCGTCCCTTAAGTGATCCTATGTAGATGAGGGCCCGAAGTCCTGACTAGGTCATCTCATGTATGCAGGATGCCGGGCCGAGCAGGACGGGCGACACTCAATTAGCAGGTGGTATTATTCGGGCTACTTTTCAGTTTCACACTCCCGACTCAAGACCGACTCAAGACCATATGCCTCGCCTGGGTTGTCCGAGTGTGAGCGCCGAAACAGACAGTGGCCCCTGTCGCCCTCACATTCCTTCCCAAACAGCCAGAGCCAAGCATGCCAAGTTCTTAGAGCCTGAGCCGTTCTGCCCTCGGTTGTGGTTGTGGCAACTTGTGAGCTTGTTTTTACTCCACGACTCCCTCCCAGAATCATCACTCGAGAGAGGCATTGTGGCTCGCAAACAAAGACATAGAAGACTCACCCGTGGCAGCAACGACCTGCAAGACTATATATAGGTGGCACTTACGAACTAACTGTCTGTTTCAGGTGTCCCATCTATGTCGAAAGCTCGAAAGCTCAAGAAAGCGTGCACTTACATCATCTATTCGGCCCTTGTTTCCGCATGTTCGCCCGAGCCCCTTGCAGGCATGAAGCTAGCGTCAGTTGGTCTCCATCAGCTGAGATGCGGACCATTCCGGCAGCAACTCCGGCTGAACGACTCTCAGAAGCCTGTGTCAGAAGGCATGTGGAACTTGAGCTTCAGATAACTTCAGCTTCATCGTGCCTCTATGGTCAGCAGCACGAGGAACAGAGTTGCGAACCCACCTGCGCGGCTTTCGGTCTTCCTGACCTGATTCGGTTTTTAGTTATTCTCTGGGCACCGTGCCAAACCAAGCTGGTGTCAACACCTGAAAGGGGACCAAATACGGACCCTGTCTGTCCGCCTCTGCCCTGTATGTGAAAGGCTTCTCATATAGCCAAGAGTCACAAACGTCGTTCAGCTTCATCGGCCCGAACTGAGCCACAGCTGTGCCAAGTTCACAAGAGGCAGCAACTGCACAGGAATGCAACAACGTCTTCTGAGCCCAGGCTGACATGTGCCCGTGGCCGGGCAAAAACGTTCGCCACCCTGAAAAGCGGATGGACACAAGTCATGCCCGCGGCCAGCTGCGATCTGCCAGGCTAAGAGTCCAGCTCTTCGGAAATAATTGCAGAAACCACAGTGGGAGCTCCATGTCCATCTGCCGCGATTCCCAGATGCTGGGCAGGGTACCGCAATGTGCTCTGGTAAAGCTTCACCATGTGCCTTTGGAGTGGACTTGAGAACCTTAGCCCGATGCCAAAAATGCCCGACAGGGAATGCTGCCGTCCACAAGCATCCATGGCGATTTGAGCCCGGGGCGTTCCAGATCCAGATACTTGCAAACCTCGCTCGCGCCGCGCAGCAGGTCAAGCAACTCTCTGTTAGCGATGTACTACCTCCAAGTGTGCATGGCTGTGTATGTCTGTTGCAGATCATGCCTCCCCCTATCTCTATGGAGTTCAGACAAATCAAAAGCTTTCATGTAATTCGGAAGATCTAGCACAGATGAACTTCATGCGAGCCAGATGCTGCATCCCGGGATAAGTTGTCGTTCCGATGGGCCGCCCAATAGGATACCAAGACATGTAGTCATACCTGGCACGGATGCATTAAAGACTTCCAGCTTCCTGTCATTCATGCTGTGGCGACAGTCGGACTGAGCACAGCGCCATTTCGCGAATTTAAACCAACCATGTTTGGACAAGTACTGGGCGACACGGAAGTTGAACCTGGTCCGGTTATACCAGTTCTGCCGCGCCCTTGCTGAGGATTTTGGGGAGCCGACCAGGGATCGAATTCGTGGATCAAATAGCCGTAGTCATGGACGGGCTGCACAGGAAAACACACCAGCCGCACACGATCGAATTCAAACGCGACGATGTGTAAGCTGCAGGCACTCATTCGTATCCGATAGGCCCACAAGCAGAAGTACGCAACCATCAGCAACCTTAGAAAAGCCAGCGCGCATGGCCTACAGTCCGAACGCTCTGCTGGACAATTCGCCCTTCATTTTCTCTCGCATGTTTTCTGTATCGGCACGTGGCAGCATACAGGCCTTTTTACAAGGCGTAGAGAATCATAGAGACAAGGCCTAGTTGCATGCAGAAGCCGCCTGCTCTTTCGGGCTTCGGACTTGCAGAATAGAAGCAAGACCCGTCATTGATGGCATTATCGAATCTCGGCTGGTGATTCCCACCCTCAGCACTATGATGATCAAGCTGCATCGTTTGCCAGCACTGTCATGATCAGTACCCGATCCACATCTTCCAGCCTTGGGACACAGTCTATTCATGTGATGGGCAACGGGCCGAACTCGGCGCCTTCAACATCAACAATGCTGTCCACCACTTCTTACTCATAGCATCTAAACTCCCACCAAGATGCGGTCTGAGCCGGGTCCTCCCGCGGCAGGCAAAATACTAACACGTCACAAAGCTCAAGACGCTGGCACAAATCGTCGTGTATCACACAAGGTTAGCACTCCGGGCAACAACGGTTGTCGCTGGCGGCAAGCTCTCGGAGAGCAGGTCGAAAATCTGTCTATTCCCGATGCTACCTTGCTACCCGCCTCTTTTTGTGCTCTACATGCACGACATTGCTTCCTAAGGCAGGAACGCTTCGCAGGGCATACGAGTATTTCTGCCAAATGCCCATGTTGCAGATTGTGTCTGCGATCCAGAACAATGCAGTGGCCAAGCACACGGCAGTAGAGTGACAAAGACTGACAGATACGTAGTACGCGCACAGAATCCCTTGAAGTGCAGCTACAACTGCGATTCAAGGTTTTCCACAAGCAAGGGTGGTCCACAGCTTTTTGTTATGAGTCACGCCTCCAGCACATAGAACCGCCTGTAAATGACGAGAAGTATGCACCACACCACAGCGGGACACACGCGCAGCGAGCATCCTTCGGCGCAAATAGCAGGATGCAGGACCAGATTTGCATCGCGTGCTGTAAATAACAGGATGCAGGGAGTTCGCAAAAGTCTGAATAACCTAATTTTCAAGGAGAATGTCCACCTGCCCATAGTTGCAGCTGCTCTGGGGAACAAAAACCAACAATCAAACAGCAATCTTGAATTTAATTCTCGTGCCATGGGGGCGTGCGTAAGGTATGCGATGAATCGGGCTTGCCAAAAAGGGCGTGGGTTAAAAAATAGAGAGCGGCCTGCCAAAGGTTTTCGGACATTCCAGAGGGCCTTCCGTGCCTTCAGGAGAGCATGCAAAGCAATCCAGAATGACAAGTACCGAAAAGCATGCGAACTTTGGTGTGCAAAAACCCCAGGCCCCATGACAATCCCCTCTGTAAAGACATATGATTCATATGATGCTTAAGATCTGTGATCAACCTACATCGCCAAATAATGGGGCGATGTGATCAACCGGGAGCGCTTCATGAGGGAGGGTGCCTAAGATGTGTGATGATGCATCGGGCTCGCCAAATCAAGGGGCGTGGACTAGTTTAAGTTTTGTGATCAAGGCGAGGTTCAATGAGATTCAATGGGGTACAGGTCGGCGTGACACATGCTTCATTCCCGACTACCCCACTGTTTCGACTCCCTGTTTAGGTGTTGTGATGAATCGGGATCGCCAAACAACAGGAAACAAGGGGCGTGTTCAACATACTGCGTTAAGAAGGTTTTCGGACATTCCAGAGGGCCTTCCGTGCCTTCAGGAGAGCATGCAAAGCAATCCAGAATGACAAGTACCGAAAAGCATGCGAAACTTTGGTGTGCAAAAACCCCAGGCCCCATGACAATCCCCTCTGTAAAGACATATGATGCTTAAGATCTGTGATCA